TTTTTTTTTTTTTTTTTAGTTCAGAGAGTTACTTTCTAAATAGAACATAAAGTGCTGTCAAACAAAGCAACAAAACCCAAGGACATTCAACATTCAGTCTGAAGCATCATCATTTACTTCGGCTGTTGTCAACTTCTGACAAATGCCTGAGTCTGGCTTTTTGTTCTCCAGTTTGCATGATGCATGTTTGCAGAGGCAGATGGTAAGGGGACATTCACTGGTCATGGAAGACTCTACACTGTTTCAAGTACCCAGCACAGTCCCTCAAGGGAAGGAGGCAGTTTGGGGGGCAAGGGGAACAACACTTTCTAATGAAAATAAGCAGTAAGCAATTCCAAAATGAACTATGCTATTTCTATCAAAAACATCTGATGCATCTGCCTGCCGTCAGTTAGGCAGCTGTCTCCACTGGATCTGTACTACCTTTCCATTCCAGCTCCCCGATACCTTTCTTTCCCTACAACTGGGCAGATGAAAGGAGCAAGTAGCCAAGGCTAAATACAAAGAAGGAAAATTCATGAGGCTTGTGTTGTGTTCTTTTCTGATCCAATATTTAGAGAACAGTTGATAGCTACTGGAGAAGTACCAAAGGCTGAAAAAGTTGTTCAGAAACAAAGGCTTAATCTTGACTTTAGCTGTTGGCAGATCCATGTTTGAGTGTGAAGAATAAGGCTAAGCTCCTAATCACAGCTACCCCAATAAAAACCTGAATGTAGATGCAGTTATATTGCAAAGGTGTCCTTTGCCAAAACAGCTTATTCCATTTGGGGGAAGTTGTTTGTGTTTTTTGCCTGTATGAACGCATCTCCACTGAGGTTTTATGGCAAACTCCTTAAGTACAGACAAGGCTTGAACATTCCTTCCACAGATGAACTTCAAGAGGAATGACTAAAAGTTACTTCATTAAAGTAGCCACTTAAGTCATCCCAAAGCACCAGCAGTTTAAGCTATTTTTTTCTCAGCACACATGCAATACAGTCATCCTTTATCTTACTCTTGACCATATGCTGGTGGTGGCAGCTAAGGCAAGTTTCACTGTTCACACACGGCAATGCAGCTCATCCTTTATGCATCATTTCTCAAATGTCTTATTTTTGCCCCATTGCTATCCTAGAAGCTACAAAAGCAAGAGACCTATTAAAGCCTCCAACAGCTTCAATGCGGGTTTAGTTCTTTTTATTACAAAGCTTTGGTTTTAAACACCAAGCAAGGGGAGCACACATGGTATCCAGTACCCCAAATCCCTTACTTAAGAAGCACTTATTTGACATACACTATCTGGATGCAAATACAACCCAGGGAGTTTCAACAGCACATCTGATCTAATCCAGGAAGCACTGTTAAGTCACATATCAAGATTAATTTTCTTAAGGAAAAAAAAAAAATCTCTTTACATTGTAAAGGACAGCTCAAGAGCCAAAAAAAAGCCCCAACATTATTTTGCATATAGCCCAATATCTCACAGTTCTTTAGCAATTAAGAGGTCCAATCTGTCAGTCAAGCATCTTGCCCATGTATCGCCTCTTCAGGAAGGACTTTCTTCTATTCCAGTCCCTCTGCATCTTATAATAAGTGCAGAACCTATATCTTCCTCAAGGGGATGCACCACAGTATTTGCACTGCGTTGAAGTCAAACATCAAATAATCTATGCCATAGTGTATGCAAAATTCTTACTCAACAGCGATTCCAAGAAACCAAACTCTATCTCTGTTTTAACTTGATCAACATTTGAATGTACAGTTTACATATTAGTTTCAGGCAAGACAAAAACCCAGTCAGAAATAATATATATATAATTTTATTTCTGACTGGGTTTTTGTCTTGCCTAACTTTACTTGCACACTACTTGAAAGCCAAACCTTGATTTTAAAAGGTGACAGAGCTCTCAAATCAGTGACTAATATGTAAACTGTATATGTATATATGCTGGGATAACACTCTCATATTATATATATTAAAATGAGAGTGTTATCCCAGCACAGAAAAATTCTTAAGGGCACAAACCCCAATAGTTAGAGGCTGGCTAAAAGGACTCTTTCCCTGTGGGCAGGTTATTCCCTAACTGCCTACAAGCACAGGATTTCCTGCAACTTCCTCTCCAGCATCTGGTAATAGTTGAGGATAATGGACTGCAGGGAAGACCGATCAGCTCTTGTATGGTAATTCCTATTATCTAGAGTACAGAAGGAGGTTCACTGCTCAATTATAAACAGCAGGGAGTATGTTGTATCCTTTGCAGTCACAATTTCTGTTCTCCATTGGTATTAGTACCATGACAAATGTCCAATATTGAAGTCTGAAAGTAGTGACATAATCAACCTCATAACCCCAGTGACTTAGCTATTTATTCTAAATGATGGCAACTGGAATTGCCTGGGTGAGGTTCAGCCAAAACAACAGATCAACAGATACTGGAGGTGAAAGGGTGGTAGGGAGGGCAGGGAAGCACTCTTCCTGGTAGATTCAGAAAGTCATACCAAAATTGTTTATCAATAATCTGTATTGTGCCAGTCAGCCAAGCAAGCAACTTGCCCAGGCATCTCTTTGCTTCAGAAAGGATTTTCCTGTATTCCAATGTCACTGCACCTTTTTATACAACTTGCTTTCTGATAGGAGTGCTGTTAATACAAGCACACCATCCGTGCTAGCAGAGCCCAAACAGCCTGAGCCATCTGGCCCACAGTGGCACATTTTCCCTCCCTCTATGGGAAACCGTTCCAAAACGTAACCCTACCTTTTACAAGCAGACATGGGAAGAGATTTAAAGCACCACTGTACAAGAGAGAATTGCAACAGGAAACCTGATGCAATGTTACAAGTATTCTGAGGCATACTACTCCCCCCAAAAAGTAACTAAAAAAGCATTAAGCTACATCTACTGACTAATTCCCTCATTACCTTGTTTGGAACAAGTACAACTTTTGGACCCTTCGTCCCAACACCCTTTTTCTCCCTCCCTCCTCTGTCAAATTGTTCGCCAGTGTAGGAATACTGTCTTCACATTACAGGATCTGCTTTCATACTATGCCTCCTGTTCAAAAAAGTGGGTATGTGGGGAAGCATGCACGCATGCGCGCAAGCAAATAAACAATTGGGGGAAGTTGGAGAAGCAGACCAATTTCTATGCTTAAAAATCAGAATTCAGCAGGGGATCAGAATAGCATTACTTCCCATTTAAAGGGGCGGGGGGACAGGGGGAAAAGGGAGGTGTGTGGAAATGTCCCTGTGTAATTATGCCAGAGGCTAATGAGTCCAAAAAGTGTTAGTTCTGGGTTGCACTAACTATTATGCTCAGGAATCGTGGTTTTCTCTGTTAAAAAAATCCCAAATACTCCTACCCAAAATCTAGGTTTCCCCACTATTAAAATGAAATGCCACTATAATGTGGTATGTATGCATGCAACATTTTTATTGATACATTTACAATTTTAAGGCAATTTGGAAGCCTACCAGTGCCTCAATAGTTGTAATAAAATACATTCTAAATACCTATTTATTTTTGCATTTGATTTTGGCTTTTTGTTTGGTTGGTTGTTTTGGGGTTTTTTGTTGTTGTTGGTTTTTTTTAATCATGGAAGATCAGACCTCCCCCTACCCCACTTACTCACCAGAACAAGTCCAGTTGCAGCTGACCCTCTGCTGCTTTGTGGCACTGAGCCGCCCAAATATGCCAGCATGGTGCCCCTCAACCCCAGCCCCGTCTCCACTGCTGCCCTTCACTCCCGACCCGCGGCCCCCCTCACTCCCAACCTGCTGCTCCCCACCCCCAGACCCTAAGGGTGTGGAGAACAGGGTGGGCGTGTGGAGAAGGGGGCTGTGGGCATAGGTGACACATGGAGAGAGTGAGGGAGCACAGGGAATACACTGGGGGGGCCATGGGAAGGCATATGCCCCCTCCCCCCCAGATTTCTGCACTCAGTGGGGTGCAGGGCTGCAGCCAGGCCAGACGCCACCTCCACAGCCCAACGGGTGGGACCTGGTACAGGAGGGAGTGCCGCACCATACCACCCCATTGCTGCCGGGTGGGCAGGGGCACCTCACCTTCGTGCCGCAGCACCCCCTCCTGCACCAGGTCCTGCCTGTCAGGCCACAGAGGAAGATCCTGCCTAGCATGCATCCAGCCAGGCTGCAGCCCCACACCCCACTGTGGGTGTAGAAATCTGGGGAGGCACTCTGCCAGCTTGCAAGGGCAAATCCATTTTTCTCCTTTAAAAGGAAAAAAAGCCACATTTTGCCATGTTCTTCTGCAGCAAGCAGAAAACCTGGATCCCTGATTATGACCAAGCAAACCCAAATCAAAGCTTGCCAAAGAAATTCTCTTGCAATTCCAATGCTGATGTGACCATGTAAAATTCTCATGGGCCTAGAAGAAGGAACCTCACATTTAAAAAGGCAGAGTGCCAGATGCCTATAAAGGCAGAGTAACAGAAACTAGAATGACACCTTACAATTTTAACACTACAAATTTGTTAGAGATGCAAAAAAACAAGACAGAGAACAAGGGTGAAAAACCAAAGTTACAGACTTGTTATAGGTCTCTACTACTAAAGAATAAAATCTGGAACTAAAACCTGAAGGCAAATCACAGCCACAGGATACAGTGCTCCTGAAGGAGTTTATTACTTAACAGATGTCTGAGTAGTCACTTACGGCTAAGCATGAATCATCAAGATGTTCATAAGCTTGTTTTCCCCCACAAACTAAATGCAGAGATCCATAATGATGCTGCACGTTCTACTTGTAGTCAGGGAGGAAGCAACTAAGAACACAGGAAATCTACTGCTAGTGACTAAAACTGGCAAAATGAAAACCACATATTAAGACTGAGATTTGTTAAAGCACACTAATTCTATAGCTTTGGGCAGAGGTACATACAATTAGGAGGAAGATCTTGTTAATGAAGATATTTATAAAAGCAGTATGAAAACACTAACAATGAGGAGTCAGCTGGAACATATGATATGCAACAGTAGGTCCAGAAGGAATAAACTAGTGGAGCAACTAAATCTTTTTTTTTTATTATTATTTATTTTTTTAAGAAAGGCTGTCCACTGGAGTGACCAAAATGATGTTTTGTAGGGGAAAGGAAGGCAATCTCTAAAATGGACAGAAGTGTGCTGCTATTAAATAAGTTTAGCTGCAACTCTGAACCAAAGAAGTAGGAAAAATACTTTTTACATCTGGAGAATAATAAAGATCAAAAACAGTATGTGGTTAACCCACCAGCTACTACCTCCGATTTTAATTCCTGGTCAATATTTAAAAAAAAAAAAAACCACACAAACAAACCACATAAAATGAC